CCACTTCCTCGGCAGCAACACCAGTAGTTGTGAGCATTCTGATGGCCGTCGAGAGCTTGAGAGGTGTCAAACTGCCGGGGACAGTAGAGGCAAGGAAAACGTCGCGGAGATGAGGAAATCCTACAACTACAACACTCCACGATATTAAACTGCCGAGGTCTGCTGGTTTTCCTTATTTTTGGCTGTCATCAATTAAAATCTGAGGGCTTAATAGCAATTATGGGATTAGTTGAGTGCTTAACTTATGGTTTTACCTTAGATATATTCGCTAAATTGCCAGTGAAATCCCTTATCAGATTCATGTGCTTGTACAAGTCATGTTATCAAGCCATCTCCGATCCTCAATTCTTCTCCCTTCATCTCCATCACTCCAATCAAATCAACAAACAATTTCTCTTTCAGATTCGTAAGAGCCCTCTAACCCTGCAATCTTTGTCTTTCTGCCATCACCAATTGCTTCGAGAGCCCGTGAAATTGGAGGCACAGACTACGTTGCCGTCTTGTTTCTGGTGGGAAATGATCGATTCCTGCAATGGGGTTCTGTGTTTGACAACTTGTCCTCAACCCATTCGCTATTTAGGTATTCTAAACCCTTCAATTAAAAAGTTAAAGCTTGTTCTTTTTCCCAATTTGGAGGATTCCTTCTGTGTCTCCAACGGTATTTAAAGGTCGGTAGATGGAACATGCTTTTCAGCTGAAATTGGGTTTGGTTTTGATTCTGCACAAGTGATTTTAAGATTCTGATAATTTTTTGGGAAATTCATTCACAAATATGGAGACAAGTTCAAGTTTACTCACTAAGACAAAATTCATGGAAGGTTCTTAGTAATGTTCCCAATTTTTTATACAATTTATATGAGCCTCAGGTAATTGTTAATGGAGCTTTTTATTGGGTTGTAAAGCCTGTCATCAGTGATTGTTTGTCGATCTTGATGTTTGATTTCACTGATGATACATTTAAGGAGATTAAGATGCCAGATTGTTTCTATGAAGATATAGCTTATTTTTGCAAATTTGATGGCTTGGGGGAATTCAAGGGAAAACTATCCTTTCTGCATGTTGATGAAAATTCTTCTGTGGGTGTTTCACTGGAGATGTGGATGATGGAGGATTCTCCTTGGGTTAGACAATATGTTGTCAATGTGAGTCAGCTTTGCGGACCTAAATGCTTGGCAATGAATGATGAAGCAATGCTACTGTTAACACATTCTGTTGTTGGCCGTATTCTTTCTTGTGACCTCAAGACCTTGGAGTTGACTTACAATGGAGTTGAGGAGCAGAGACCCCGTGCTTTTACCTATACACCGAGCCTGGCCTTACTTGGGGAAGAAAACTAGTATTTTGAGGACCTCTGAATGGTATGATGTTTAACATTGTTGTTATAGTATTTCTCGACTTGTTTTTGGTTTTCATGAGACACTATTTGTCCTGTTTAATTCAGTTTATATATTTTGATGACTCCTCTTTTACCATTGTGCTTTCAGCATCTTAGTGATAAGAGTATGAGTGTTTTCTTGGTTGGAATGGAATGTGTTTTATTACAAAAACAGTGTCCAAATCTGAGGCTGATTATTTTGGATCTTAATGAAACAACTAACATTTAAATGAAAAAGCATGCTACCGGTACATTTATAAAATAAAGCATGCTATGCTGGATTTGGTGTCACAAAATATAGAGAAAAGTAAAAATCAGAACCCCTTGTCATTTAAATTATTAGGATTGTCTCTGAAATTGTTTAAATATTCTTAATAAATCTTCTTTGTTATGATTTGTTTTTCATTATCCTTTCTGGGCATATTGCAGAAACTTCCAAGACTTTCAAGAAATCTTGGAATATTCCAGAAACTTCTTGTGACAAGTAAGTACTCCTTACATTTTAAACAAATTCTCTCTTAATTTCCAAATAATTGTGTTGTGCGCTTGATTGGTTTGTTACTAAATTTGCAGTTTGAGGAGTACGCTTGATTGCATGCAACAGCTCCATCCACCAACTCATCTCCGCGACGTTTTCCTTGCCTCCACTGTCCCCGGGAGTTTGCCACCTCTCAAGCTCTCGGTGGCCATCAGAATGCTCACAAGCGCGAGCGAACAACCGTTGCTCGGCCAAACTTTCCGGCCAACAACCTGCAGGAATACCGCCTACTACCTCTGTTCCCCGCTTATCCAGAGCAGCCGCCGCCGCCGCCTGCCGCCTCATCAGCAGCACCAGGACCTGAACCTTGCTTCCAGCTCGGTCTCTCGGAGCTTTCTGGGCGTTTCGACTGCTGATGCTCTCTCCACTACCACTGAT